GGGTCGGACCCGACTCGATGGCACTTAACAACAACAATAGTTCATATATATATATATAGAATATATATATATTCAATAGTAATTATTCTCACCAGAATTGAATTTTTCTAACTACCTTCTTCCTACTCTAGCTTAATTTTTTAATTTTTTTTTTCATTTTGAAGCCATAAGAAAAGTTTCTGGCTGTTTATGATTGTTCTTCTTTTTTGCTTTTAGTGGAATCTAATCAGAAAAGCTCATTCCAAGAAATTCCCAAACTTAATGAAGAACTACTCAGCAAACAAAAACAACTTGAAAAAATTGAATCCGGAGAGCTGGGTTTGAACAAAGTCTGGATAAACATCACAGAAATGAACAAGCAGGTAGAAAAACTGTATTTCTTTATAAGCCATGAATATTTAATTTTGTTTTTTGGTATGAACCTGTAGGTAAAAGTAACTCACTTCAGATTGTTTTATTTTTTGTAATTACATACTATGATCCTGACACATTAAAGTCAGATAAAATAGGAAATAGTATATATTTACCAAATATTTAAAATATTAATCCTTTTTGTAAAGGAATAGAGTTTTCCCAAGTAGAGGGAGTTGGAAATTCTTAAGTCAGATTATCCTAAGGAGAAATTTAGGAGTCAAATTTTTAAAGGAACATCAAGGAAAGTGATGTTCCTATTAAGAATTTTTTTTGTCTGTTTGTTTAATGGACTTAGCAAACTTATAGGCACTGACTTCAAGTAAAATTCTATACAGTATTATCAGTTAATACTAGTTCTAAACTAGCATATGAGCTGATGGCAGAATTGTTTAAATACGTTTGCCAGGCAAACAAGTCTAGGGCAAAAATTTTCAATCCCTAAACTGACCAGAACTCAGTAGGCATTGATTCTTAAAGAGGAACTCTGCAATAGGAAAGAAGCTATTCAAAGAATATTGAGTGAGCATCTCCTGTTTTTATGGTACTATAGTTGTAGTGTGGAGTCCTGGTATGGCGCTGTGGGTTAAGATGCCAGACTGCAAAGCCATTTGAACTGCAAGGTCGGCAGTTCAAGTTCACCAGCTGCTCCTCAGAAACCCTATACAGGGTCACTATGGGTCGAAACCGACTTGACTGAACTTCACAACAACAACAAATAGTTGTAGCGTAGTGGTTATGCATCGGGCTGTGAACCACAAGGTCAGCAGTTCAAAAGTACCAGCTGTTCCATGGGAGAAAGATGAGGCTTTCTGCTCCCATAAAGATATACAGCCTCAGAAACCCTGTACAGGGTTTCTATGAGTTAGAACCGATTCCACGGCGCATAACCACCACCACCACCGTAGTTGCTACTGGGTAACTTTAACCCCTGTCATCATTTTTCACGATTATTTAGGATAGGACATATTCATGCTTAGTAAAGTGGAGAGTCAGTGAAACAGAGAGATCCCCAACTAGATGGATTGGCACTACGGTAGCAGCAATGGGCTCAAAAATAACAACAATTGTGAGGTTGGCATGGGATCAGGCAGTGTTTTGTTCTGTTGTGCATAAAGTTGCTATAAGTCGGAACCCACTCAACAGCACCTAACAGCAACATGTATAGGATGGGAGATGGGAGGAAAATCAGTAGAGGTAATAATATAACGAAGTACCAAATGAATGGTACATTTGCAAAGTGCTCATAGCTATGCCATCTTCTTGGGACTAAGCTCAGAATCAACCAGTGGCAGGGAACACTAACTAGGCTAGGTGAAAGTGCTTGCAGAAACTTTTGAAGCAACCCCACCTTTTGGCAATGGTATGGGAGTGAGACACTTCAACACTAAAGACCAAAGATCCGTGAATGGTCTGGGGCAGTGATTTTCAAACTTTTGCCTGGAACCCACAATAAGATATATTTTACATCTACTAAATACATACACATATATAACTGAAATAAAGTCTTTAAAAACTAGCTTAAATTTAATATGTAATGATGCTTTATAATATTTGTTGTCACTTCTACTTAATTTTTTTTAATTGTTGTTGTTAAGTGCCATCTAATCAGTTCCAGCTCATAGCAACCCTATTTAGGGTTTTTGAGGAGCAGCTGGTAAATTTGAACCACCATCCTTGCAGTTCAAACTGACCTTGTGGTCTAGTATTTATCCTACAGGGCCACATCAGTACTTACCTAATAGTTGATGAGTTGTAGCACTTAGTATATACTATATTGTTGTTAGATGCCGTTAGTTGGTTCTGACTCATAGCAACCCTATGCACAGCAAAATGAAACACTGCCTGATCCTGTGCCATCCTCACTATTGTTTGAGCCCTTTGTTTCTGTTACTGTATCTATTGATTTCATTGAGAGTCTTGCTCATTTTCACTGACTTTACACTTTACTAAGCATGTTGTCCTCCAGGGACTGGTCCCTTCTGACAACATGTCCAAAATTCAAGAGACAAAATTTCACCATCCTCGCTTTCAAGGAGCATTCTGGTTACTGTGGTTGTTAAGTGCCGTGGAGTCGGTTACAACTCATAGGGACCCTGTGTAGAGTTTCCGAGGAGCAGCTGGAAACCAACCTTGCAGTTCAAACAGCTTTGTAGTCTGGCGCATTAACCCACAGTGCCACACCAGGACTCCATTCTGGCTACTAGTTGTCATTTATTCTTGAACTCCCAGTGATTAGAGGAAAGCAGGCATTCACTTCTTCTTTTTTGCATCCAGTTGAAAGTAAACTTATACTATAGAGCTGAGAAATAATTATCATCTTTCTTTGGGGCAAAACATGGATTCCATATGGATAACCAGTCTTGGATTCTGAGAAGAATGTGAAATCTTTCATCTCCTTATAAATGGACATCTGTTGTTGCTATGTGCTGTTGAGTCTGTTCCAACCCTGTATAGGATTTCTGAGGAGTGGCTAATATGTTTGAACCACTGCCCTAATGGTTAACAGTCCAGTGCTTATGCTACAGCTTCATACCAGGACTCCTAGTAAGAGTCAAAAGGGAAATTGGTGTCAAGAGTGAGAGGACACACAGATTTTTAAATCTTTAGTATATACTCATACTTTGGATTCTGAGGGGATGGGTTTTTTTAGTTATTATTGTGATTTGAGTGAAAGTTTACAGGGCAAATCATCAGTTTTACATGCAACAAATCATATACTTTGTTTCATCCCAATGATTATAATCCCCTCCATGTACCATCAGTTAACAGTATTTCTCTCTATTCATTTTAGCTCTTTTTTTTAAAACACTCTGGCATATATAATAATCTAAACCACCAAAGGGCACATTCTGCAAGCTTGCCTCCTGGCCACAAGCTCTCAGTCCCTCTCTTTCCATGAATCTAGAGTCCTCAGCTGTTTCCTCTCTCCATGTCACCATCTCTGCCTTCCTCTCTGATGTCACTGCTTCTCTAGATAGGTCCTGTATTCCACTGGTGCTCTTATTCCTTGATGGTCCTAGGGTCCTCTGTTCCAGGAATGTAAGATTAACTACGCCTCTGTTGTCTTTTTTGTGTTACAAAACTTCTACCTTTACAATTGTGACCGTTGCGATTAGTCATGATAACAATTACTCACTACTGAATCATAAGAGTCTTATCCCCATCTCTTTTCACCAGACCCATCTAGAGAAGGTGAAAACTATTCAGTGGGGACTCTATCTTCCCCCTCACACTCTTAAACTAAACTCCCTCTTGAAACCTTGTGAGCCAGTCACTTCGTGCCTTTATCACCCGCTCATTTTAGGTAACCAGTTTCTAAGTTGCCTGCCCCTATCTACGCTGTATACAGAAGGGATAGCATTGATACTTGATGTAAAGTAAGAGGGACTCCTTCCCTCTCTGTTGGTATTGTGAGCTACTACATCCATGAGTGTAGGTCAAGTTCATCAAATTGTAGCAATTTACCCTCGTTTCCTTTTTTTTTAATCGTCCTCCAGTTAAGAGTCAGCCACCACTTGTCTGTCAGTTTGTCGTACTGTAGTGGCTTTTGAATTGCTGTGATTCTGAAAGCTAAGCCACCAGCATTTTAAATACCAGCAGGGTCACCCATGGTGGACAGATTTCAGATGATCTTCCAGACAAAGACAGACTAGGAAGAAACAGTGACAAACTACTTCTGAATATTTAGTCACTAAAAACCTTATGAATAGCAGAGAAACACTGTAAGATACAGTGCTGTAAAATGAACCCCTCAGGTTGGAAGGTACTCAAAATGCAACTTGGGAAGAGCAGCCTCCTCAAAGTAGAGTTGACCGTGATTACGCGAATGGAGTAAAGCCCACGGGACCTTAATTTACTGATGAGGCACAACTCAAAAGGAAGAGAAATAGCTGTAAACATCCATTGAAAATTGGAACATGGAATGTACAAAGTATGAATCTGGGAAAATTGGAAGTTGTCAAAGATGAAATGGAACACATAAACATCAATATATTAGGCATTAGTGTGCTGAAATGGACTGGTATTGGCCATTTTGAATCTGACAACCACATGGTTTACTATGCCAGGAATGACAAATTGAAGAGGAATGGTGTTGGATTCATTGTCAAAAAGAACATATCCAGATCAGTCATGAGGTACAATGCTGTAAGTGATAGGATAATATCCATGCGCCTACAGGGAAGCCCAGTTAATACCACTATTATTCAAATTTACGCACCAACCACTAAAGCCAATGAGGATGAAATAGAAGAAACTTCTTCAATCTGAAATTGATCAAACACGCAATCAAGATGTATTGATCATTACTGGTGATTGGAATGCAAAGGTTGGAAGCAGAGAGGAAGGATCAGTAGTTGGAAAATGTGGCTTGGTGATAGAAATGATACTGGAGAACGCATGATAGAATTCTGCAAACTCAATGATTTGTTCATTTCAAATACCTTCTTTAGACAGCATAAGAGACAACTGTACACATGGATCTCACCAGATAGAATACATAGAAATCAAATTAACTACATCTATGGAAAGATACGATGGAAAAGTTCCATATCATCAGTGAAAACAAGACTAGGAGCAGACTGTGGAACAGACCATCAATTACTCATATGCAAATTCAAACTGAAGCTGAAGAAAATGAAAACAAGTCCACAAGAGCCAAAATATGTCTTTGAATATATCCCACCTGAATTTAGGAATCATCTGAAGAACAGGTATGATACATTGAACACTAAAGACCGAAGACCAGAAGAATTGTGGGATGACATCAAGAACATCATACAGGAAGAAAGCAAAAAGTCATTGAGAAGAAAAGAAGGAAAAAGTCAAAATGGATGTCAGAATAGACACTGAAACTTGCTCTCCAGCATAGAGATGCTAAAGCAAATGAAAGAAATGAGGAAGCCCAAGAACTGAACAGAAAATTTCAAAGATCAGCTC